GTCACGAAAGAGTATTCTTGTTGCTCAGTTATGTTACCCGTTCAGGCTGTACTCCTTCCCAAGGTCTGGTTAAAGTGCAGAGTTCCCACATTATTACACCTAAGCTGAAGATATCGCACTTTTCTGAGAAGGGCTCATTGCGGATAAGCTCGGGAGCCATCCACTCTGGAGTTCCTGCCGAGACTGCGTCTCTCATTGTCGTGCCTGTCATTATTCTCGACAGCCCGAAATCACAGATTTTGACTGACCATTTGTTGCTCAAAAGACAGTTTGCGCTCTTTATATCACGGTGTACTATCCCCATCCGGTGTATGCACATCAACCCCCTTGAAACATTTTACAAGTTTTAACTTTGTTCGTTAATACAACTGATTACGAAACTAAATCATCGAGACATAATTCTAAATTTTCTTTGGAAGTTATTGCATTCTCGTCAAAACCAAATATTATGTCGGAATGAAGAATACAGTTTCGTATGAAAGATGGAATTACCTGCAAATGTCCCGCAGCATCTTTAGCTTCCTCCGCCAGCTTATCTTCTTCTTTTGTCCACTTGAGTGGAGCAAATAATACAAAGATCCCATTTCCATGTACTCAGTGATCAGTGATAATCGTGGAGGCTTTGTGCATGCTCCAAGGAACAGTATAACTACAAGAAGTCGAAGATGCCTGCGTTAGTGAAGACAGATACTAAAATCTTGCAAGCGAACATTCAAAGAAATAGATGAGTACCATTGGGATGTCTAAGTCGGCTGGTAGTTAGTTGGATGTAGAGAAAGAAGGCAAAAAAGAAAGTCAGAAGATAAGTTGAGATGTTATTGCTAAATTTGAATAGAAAAAGAGAAAGTCTAACGACAAACCTAAGAATGGATATCTCATTGCAGAAATCTTCCATGTTCTCAGCCGTAAGGTCTTGCTCAAGGAACACCTTGATCGCGACGTCTGTTCCATTCCAGATGCCACGGAAGACTTCTCCAAAAAACCCTTAAAGGAAAAATTAACAAAGAATACAAAAATAAACTTTGGATGACAAAAGTCAAAAGAATCAGGAAAGTGAAGGGATAATAATTTATCGACAAACCGAATTCAGAAAAAAACATTGAGCCACATTAACTGGCATGTTTTTTATAATGAAAAATATCCTTACCAATTCCAACACGAGTACCAACAGTCAACTCGGAGAAGTCTATGTTCCATTCTTCATACGGTAACAATGGCTTATTCTGGAACATGGGAGATCCCAAAACTTTATCCCAGATGTGGCTTATATCACGATGTGACGATCCACCACGTTCATATGATTGGCTTCGGTAGTTCTGGGGAGAAGATGGCAGTGAAATTGCTTTCTGCGGATCTAGTGGTTCCCTGGAAAGTGTCGACCTTCCACCAGACACTTGATCATGGGCATCCAGATGGAAACCAGAGACCTAGAAGCAGAAAAGTCTAGTTAAGACAAAAAAAAGTCACAAGCGCTATCCAAAATGAGTAAACGTTTCCAGGAATCCTAATTTTACGCTTGTGTCAATATATATCAAACATCCACTTGAAATTGTTATAGTGAGTTATTGAAAGAGAAAATGGTTATTTATCTATGGATCACAACACAGATTTTTTTTTTTTTAAGGCTGTCTCCTTCATACGATGAAAATCATAAAACTTCCGGCTTCAACTTTAGTCGAAGAGAAAAGAGATATGAAATGCTATTGCAGCTCAAGTTTCTTTGTGTTCAGTTTTTTTTTTTTTGATAAAATACTAGCAGCATAGCAGCCATATATATCAAGATATTTAAAGATGTATGTATCAATAAGCATCATATATACCATGAAATCTTTACGTACATTTTTCTGGATATGAGAGCTCTCGTTTCTGTCATTTGGGGAGTTAGGAGATGAATCATCATCACCTTGCCCTTTTGAGAGGCGATTCTGCTTCAAGGCTTCACTCATTGCTCGTACTGCCCTGAAAATGATTACCAAGTAACTTTTAAGCAAAAAGTTATCAATAAAATCTCAACTAAGAAAAAGAATGCCATCGCTTTGCATTCTTCTAATATTTTTCCATAAGACAGTGTACAATTGAGGAAAAAGATAAGGTGAAACTGAATTAACTACAACATATATCAGTGGAAAATAATGATAGCTTTGGATATACTGAAACTAGAGAAGCTTGTTAATGAGGGGAGATATGTGTAATTAGGATGGAGATATTTCAAAACCCTCAGACTAGCTCTGGCACGCACACGAAGTTCAATGAGCCAGAAACTAAACACCCACCTGACAATATCATCGCCAATCTCAGGAGTTATACTAATGCTTCTCCTCCTTATTCTCTTAGTTTCCAATTTCGCTCCTCCAACAGATTTACAGCTGCACATGAAAACTGAATACATAAGCACTTTTTAACAAACTTTACCAACACAAACTAAGTTCTCTGACACCATGTTATTAAAGCAGATACTAGATAAAAAATACTCGGTAAGCACTAAACCAGACACTAATCAAACACCATGACCTCTAACAGTAATAAATTGGATCCTTTCTAAACTGAAAGCTCAAATCCTAATCTGTAAGAACCTCTCCAACATATCTAAGTTGGAAAGGAAATAAAAACATAACCAACCTTGACGGGGCAACATCACCGGTGAAATCTCGTGCCAAGTTTGTGTCGCCACTTAGCATGGACCTTGTACGTGTTCGGAAGGAAAGATGCTCGGGACTGCAGAAACGATATAAATAAAGCATCTAACGAATTAGATAACTGGATTAATGAATGATGTGGAAATCCAAACAGCGAACTCACTTGATTTCGGTATGCATAAACATATACAATTAAACAGGGATGAGAGTAACCTGGAACCAGCAGTCCTCTGATCAGCAATAACCTTTCTCCGGTTCTGCCGCCAAAACTCATTAGCCATGTTTGACTCGCTCTGTGAAAAGCTGGAGAATAAAAGATAAAACTATTGACGCATGGTCACCTGGGGTTGATTGATAACACAAAAACACAATAAAAACAACTAGGCTTATCACCTTAATTTTCTCTCTAGCGCAGAGGCAGATCGTAACAGCATATTCCTTGATGGTGGACCAGACATATTTGGAGA